AACCTCTGACATAATAATGATTTTACTTTTTCATTCTAGGTATATTCCATGTTTCTATGTCATTAGTATGTGACCTCAGACACTTACTTGATCCTAAGAGTTTCTGGAAAGAACACTTCAGTATCCTCCATTTGCATAAGCTTGGGAGGGAGTGATACCAAGACTTTGAACTCTGCTTGGAGAAAATTGTGGCCAGATTGTGTCCACAAGAAGGATTTTGAAGGGTTTATGGCTGCAGAGCTTAGCAGGAACAGCTCAGAGTCTTGCTGGAGAGGAGGAGGAAGAGAGATGGAAGAAGGTGCCTTCTTCAGAAATTAAGGAGATTTGAAATGTGGGGTAGGATGGCACGATATATGGAGAAACATCCACCTGAGAAGGATGTTGCAAGCCATATCGGCAACTTGTACAGTGACAGAGTCTTGGCCCATTTTAGGGAAGCTTTAGACGCCCGAAACAGAGCTCTTAGACAGTTTTTTTGCGAGACAGGGCTCCAGTGACTCTCAAGCTGGGGCCTAATGGCATAAGAAACAGAGAAGAGAAGTAACCCCAGAAAAGGACTTGGTAGTACTAAGGTGTTGATGGGAAGGGGGTTCCCCCTTTCCCAAAAAGTAACTAATCCAATCTGTCTCCTTCTCCAGTCTTCCATACTTAAGAAGAATCACCAATAAAGGTAAGTGTTATGCTGTTAATGTTTCATTCATCATGTCCATTGTATTGTTTATATACTACATCTATATTTTATGTAAAAAAAATTTTTTTTGTTTTAATACTTCTGGGTGTCAGGAACGGATTAATTGTATTTACATTATTTCTTATGGGAAAAATTGATTCGAAATCGTCTATTTCGATAACAGTCCCACTTCCAGGAATGGATTAAGGACGATAAACGAGGGACCACTGTATATAAATGTTAAAATGACACTTACCTTTATTGAAGAGTATTGATGATGATGAGACACGGTTTTTCTTGAACACTCTGGGATTTTTCAGAGTGATACATGAGAAAAGGGCTTCACTGTGCAATCCCCACTAGCATTACAACAAAACAGGGAGAGTTAGCCTGTCTTCATGGCTTGTGTCCTGGGGGTGCCTTTTCCTCCTGAGTAATGTAGGTCCTGTTTGGCATTTTCTGCAGAACAAGCCTGTTTCATCAAAACTGAACATTTGTTGGGGTTGGAATTTTTCACTTCGCCATGCCTTTCCACTGTATGCTACTATGATTTTTAAATCACCCAACCCTTTTCTGGCCTTAATTTTACCAATATGAGCACTGGATCCAAGCATTTTTTCCTGTTCACTTGGGTGTGTAGTCGACTGGGGTGGGTCGCATCCCGCGAGACAAGATTAACCCTTAAATGGTCCAAACGTATATATACATTCTCTCGCGTAGCGCCCCGAATATTCTGATTTTTTTTTTTTTTTTTAGGAAAAAAGAGCATGTGGTACCCAGGCATCCTCAATTTTTTCCTATGGCACACACTGAGTCCGCACACCCATTCTCTCATGTCTAGGCGACTCAGGCCTTCGTGCCCATGTTGAATGAATGACAAAGGAAACATATATATACGTTTGAGGCGCTACGCGAGAGAAAGTAAAATATATGTTTGACCGTTTAAGGGGTTTAAAGGGCCCCAATGGGAAAAAAGTTAGAAAAGTCCTCGATGACTCACTGACTTTCTTGGGTTATCCTGGGTGGCTAACCCTCTGAGGTTAATTGTTTCTCATTAAGCCACACAAACAAGTCTCTCCACATCTTCGAGTGGTACAGCTGACGGTGGTGCAGCAGCAGCTGACCGTGGTACAATAGTATTTCGATAGCATTTCTCATACTTTTGACCACAGGGTTGGCACTAGAAGCTTTCTTTGGGCCCATGGTGGCTTATTTAGCAGTTACAAGCAGTATAAACAATGGAATAATACAAAACGTATCAAATGTATGCATGAAACCAGCCACCCTGGCTTGTAAACAATGACGGCAGGGCAGCTGAAGCGCTCAGGCTAGACGGACAGGTTTGGGACGAATCACGTTGGGTGAGTTTTTTTGTTGTTAGCCACGCCAAAATTTTTATGCTCAAACGCTTCGTTGGACGTATTTAACATTATGCGATGCGTTCGTTAGCCGAGGGTCCACTGTAGTTAAAAAGTGTACACTACAAGAACACTTGTAGTTTAACACAAGTAGTTAAGAATAAAGGTAACAAATTAAGAGGAACTGAAAACAAGAGGTGATGCAATGTACATTGCAACAAGAACTCTCAACAGAGGGACAAAGAATCTTTATTACTTATACATAACTTTCTACTTTGATCACAATGGTTATCAACTAAATCTCAAGGTATTTAACCCTTTCACTATCGAGACCCCTGCTCACAAACTTGCTCTCAGTTTCGAAGAATTAAAAAAAAATAATTCTATGAAACGATAATCTTTTCCTGATGGTAATGACACCAAAAGTACGAAATTTGATGGAAAACTTACAGAATTACGCCCTTGTGAAATTAGCGGTCTCAGCAATATTTACGCATTAGCAATTTTGCCCACTTTGAGCCCTATTTTCAGGCAATTCCATTATTCCAATTGACCAAACTCATAGCTATTTTGCTAGAACTCCATTTGTTCCATCAACTGAGTACATTTACCAATTTCAACTACCCAATGTGATAAAAATTGGTAATTTGGCCAATTCATACACAATTATTTTTCTTATGAAATGGTAGAGAATTTTCTTCTGAAAGTAATAAAACAAAAAGTACGAAATTCGATCAAAAAACTCCCAAAATTGCGCTCTTAAGAATTTTGTTGTGTCAGTGATATTTATGCATTGGTGATTTTGCCCACTTTGAGTCCTATTTTCGGCCAATTACATTCTTCCAAACTTTTAGCTATTTCGCTAGCATGTGTTCCATTTTATCTATTGAGCACAAGAAATCACCCAATCAACTATTTCATCTATCCAATAAAGTGATTGGAAATTGGTAATTTGGCCAATTTCACACAAAGTTCAAAGTATTTGAATTTCAAAATAGGATCCAGAATAAACAATGCAGGCATTCCTGGCACTAAAATAACATTTCTTCTGTTTAACAGTTATGTTTCCAGGCTTTGCAGATGAATTCCATTTAGATTTTTTATTCACATAAAGAATTTTTATTCACACCAAAAAATAGAAGATTTACTGTTATGCAATTGTATAAATAGTATCAGCACATTTGAGAATACACATCAGACCCACCAGCTGACTTGTATTGGAAGCATGCTGTGATATGTTTACTCTTCAATATCAGCAAAAATCAAACATTTCTGATGCTTTGAGTTCAATATCAAGCTATTTTCTGTAATAAAACCAATCAAAATCATCTCTATTTCTGTAATATATCTTCCAGTCTATCAAATGAGACCAAGAAACTGCGAATACAACCATAAAAACCATATGAAAATACACCACAAAGTAGCTGTTTTAATCCAAAAATATGGTCGCAGTTTTTTTTTCTCATGCACTGTGTGCTGCAGGATTTGTTTTATATGATGCACACTTACCACATAGATGCATTCTCCCACATCTAGGCCCAAATTTACTGCTCACAGTTTATCTGAGTGAGCTGAGCTCATGATGTAGCACTACAGCTTGGACCCCGGCTTCAAATTCGTAGAACTACGGGACAGACCCTCAAAGGGTTAAAGCTTACTATATACAAATTAATTTTCTTCAAGTAACATATATTACTGTTAAAAACTGAATGAAATATTTGCTGTGGATTCCTGTCACTATATTTCCTTATTGAATATCATAAGCATTACCGGTACATAAATTTTTGTAATTAAAATTATTATTTAGACATTAGTTTGATATACAGTCGACTCTTAAGCAATGTGGGGGTTAGGAGGTGCCCCCCCCCCATGTATATAACTTTAGACTCACCAAAAACTTCACTACTAATAGCCTACTGTTGACCGGAAGCCTTACCAATAGCATAAACAGTTGATTAACATATATTTCCTGTTTTGTTTTTTTTAACAAGTCGGCCGTCTCCCACCGAGGCAGGGTGACCCAAAATAGAAAGAAAATCCCCAAAAAGCAAATACTTTCATCATCATTCAACACTTTCACCTCACTCACACATAATCACTGTTTTTGCAGAGGTGCTCAAAACACAACAGCTTAGAAGCATATACCTATAAAGATACACAACATATCCCTCCAAACTGCTAATATCCCGAACCCCTCCTTTAGAGTGCAGGCATTGTACTTCCCATTTCCAGGACTCAAGTCCGGCTATATAAAAATAACCGGTTTCCCTGAATCCCTTCACTAAATATTAACCTGCTCACACTCCAGAGAAAAGAAAATGTTAAGAAAATCATAAAGAAGAGAAAATACTGCAAACAATTATGTACCATATTTATTGATACCCTAAGTTTACATCGTCTGTTTACAAGATGAATTGTCTGTCAGTACCTACATCAATAGTCTTATATGATACAAAACACTGTAGATGTTATACATATTACTGCCACTAGACATAAAAAATAAAAAGATAATGTGAAAAAGAAATTCATATTTATTTACAGGTATAATGATTCATACACTGATAAACATTTGTTTATAATTTGAATGGTGCCATGCACGATTTATAATTGTTTGTACATGTAGGTTTGGATAAATTTAAACTTTTTATAATAGATTTGCATATATTTTATGGTAGCAAATGATAAAATAGACTAGTATTTACATATATTTTATGCATTCACGACATACCTAACTTTTTCTTAAATTTTTTTCTATATTTCTAGGCTATGTGGTTTGTTTAAATTTTTTTCAAATTGTTGCAAATCTCCAAAAAAATTTCAAATATATTAATTGAAAAAAAAAAAAAAATCCGTGTATAAATGGACCTGTGCAGATCAAACCTGTGTTGTTCAAGGGTCAACTGTATAGCTAAACAAGTAAAAAGAGTCAATATTGTTATTAATTAACTACGTACTGTATTTTAGCATATTACCTTGAGCTTGTGTGCCTGTGATCGCACTTGCAAAAGTTCCCGAATAGAGTCAATAAAGCCTTGATAGTGGTGGTTACACATGCGTTCAATGTCCCTGTCATGATTTCGGATTCTTGTATCCAACCTTTCCATAAATTTGCCATGTTCATCTCCATCATATATGGTCCTGCAAAAGTTTTATGTATGATAGAACAAAAATATGTATTGACATGTTAAATGCACCAAGTGTGGCATCTACCATAAATCAAAAATATAATTCTAGTGCAAACTTCTTTATGCTCTCCTATTCTTGAAATAATTATACATACCTGGTATTCTTCTCTTAAGCTAACTGTTTCTTAAGTTTCTCTCTTTCTCTCTCTGTTTAACAACTACTCTCATTTTTATATTAATTACAGCATTCCATTCTAGTTCTATTCCCAATTTCACTGTTTACCTATCTATAATACCAATATACATACAGTAACTGAGAATAAAATAAACACATTATAATCCACTTAAGCCACAGCTAATTTCTAATACAGTATTCAATAACAAATAATTAAATCACAAAATAATGAGTAAGTTAGACAATGAGGCAAGTGCACACACATTATCTCTTGATAGAGTGTTGACGTGGTGAAGATCCTCTCAAAATGGTCTAGTTCACAATGACCCTCAACATCAGCTTCCATTATTGTATTAATTACAATACTACAAAGCTAGACACTAAAATATCTTCAAGTCCATAAATACTGTACAAAGTTACTAGAGTACAGTGCAGTACTGTATATATTTTAATCTTTGCACAAATGATGCCACTGAAACCAAGCAAAACTAAATTTTCCACAAGTTAATGAGCAGTGCTCACAGAGATCATGAAAACTAACACCCAACCACCAGTGTAGGGTGTTGTGTGATCAAGTTTGTCATGGGGAAGCTATAGGGTGTGTGTGTGTATGTACATGTGTGTGTGTGTGTGTGTGTGTGTGTGTGTGTGTGTATGTACATGTGTGTGTGTGTGTATGTACATGTGTGTGTGTGTGTGTGTGTGTGTGTGTGTGTGTGTGTGTGTGTGTGTGTGTGTGTGTGTGTGTGTGTGTGTGTGTGTGTGTGTGTGTGTGTGGTGTGTGTGTGTGTGTGTGTGTGTGTGTGTGTGTGTGTGTGTGTGTGTGTGTGTGTGTGTGTGTGTGAAGGGTAAGGGAAGGGAAGTAGAAGATTGCCACATTTTACACACTAGATATTTAAGTAATTCTTCAATCATTATACAATATAAAGAAACTTTCACACTCAATATACATTAATAGTACTAAGATAAAGCTATTTAAAGCCTCAAAACCATACTCATGCAATCTACTGTTTCATAATTTTTACAAAATCATAAGTGGCACCAGTCAATCCTACAGTGGAAAACATCTGAGTACATTATATGATAACTGGTGCTTAAGTACCATTCATAGAGGCTGGTATGACCTGACAATTCTGTTGGTACTCATCAGTATTTATAATTACCATTTTATTAAGAGCTAGCAAATCTTATCCTGAAAATCCAACATTAGTTGGTATCAGTTTCAATTATGTATAAATTCTATATTTATATGCAGTGTGATTGCTTCAAGCCCAATAGCTGTTCACTATTTCCTTGTACCACTCTGATTAATACTAATACACATGAGAGGATTCACAATTGTGCACTGTGCAGTATAATTGTCAAGTTCTACATTGTGAAGCAGAAATAGGGACATGAAATACAGTATATACAGTACCTGAACACAGTAAATATTTAAATGATCCTCCTCTACCTCAGAAAAAAAAAATCATCATCATAGCCATGATAAAACAAGTGTTATTCTTAAAATAGTACCCTTACCATGTAAAATAATATGCTGTTGGATCTACAACTCCTGGGAACATCATTTTTATCACATTTACCAATTAAAGTTGCAATTTACCTATTAACATTTAAATTTGCCACTACTGTAAACTTCTGAATGCTTTAAGAATATTCTATTTAGCCATTAAGTGTAACAAAAAATTACAATTGTCTCAGTGGCAAGTTTATCAAAGGAGTATGTTGAACAGATCACACACAACACTCGTGCTCCTTCAGGATGTACAACTATGATACATATCTATAAACATCCTATGACAAAAAAAATCCATTTTCTTTAATGACAGTATATTTTGTACTAAATGTAATATTCAAAATGCTAATCTGCAGTTTGAAATTTAGTCACATATGGTATTAGATTCAATATACAGTGCAACAGCTACTGTTTTCTCCATGGCTTAAGTAAAGTTTAAAAAAGGAAACATGCAAAGGTATTTTTTTTTTTTTGTAAAATTAAATGAATGGATAAAGAGCTGAAGAGTAAAGTATAACTTGTTTTTTAATCTGGAAAGTTAGAGGAAATTCCAAAATGAAATGAAGAAAGATAAAATTAGGTAAAAAGTAAATTAGGTAAAAAATAAAATTGGGTAAAAAAATATATACAGTACTACACCACAATAGGGGAGATGATGGAAGGATGCATGGAGAATTAAAAATTAATTGTACAAGGAAAATGACTGCATCCATTCCCAGTTCTACATAACATGAGATGGCATAACAGAGGATGGCTAGTATGAAATAAAGTAAAAGAAAATTTGGTTAATCATAGAACCACATATCATAACAGGATGTTCTAAACAGAGAGAGAGAGGTTGCACACATGCTGGTGTCGTGTACAAGTGCTGTAAGGTGTCAAGTGCTGCAAGGTGTCAAGTGCTGAAAAAAGATATCAACACAGTACTGGTTCATTTGATTTTGATAACAAAAATACAATAATACAGTATTGTACAGTACAATGAAAATGGCTAACAATATATATAAAAAAATACAAAGGAATATTCAGACCACTATCTCTTAATGAGCCAGTCTCATCCTGTGAACGAGAGAAGAGATCAGTACCAGTGTATTACCTCAAAAAACATCCTTGCAATATAGGCAATCTACAATGCATATCATGCAGGCAAGTATATATGTACTAAATGACAAGTATGAAGATCTTACAATATATACAGAATATACATTTTATTATACAAAACATAAAAGAATACAAATTATTTTCCTTCTTGACTGGCAGACAATTCAGTGTTGCAGTAATTTACAAATTATATTGCAGACAATACAGTAAATCATCTTACAGTGTCACTACACTGTACCAGTTTTTGCAAAATGGTTCAAAAAGTGCAACCAAAATATCTAACATCAGAAAAACCTTGATACTATTTTTTTTTTTTTTAACAAGTCGGCTGTCTCCCACCGAGGCAGGGTGACCCAAAAAGAAAATACTTTCATCATCATTCAACTCTTTCACCTCACTCACACATAATCACTGTTTTGCAGAAGTGCTCAGAACACAACAGCTTAGAAGCATATACGTATAAAGATATATCATATCCCTCCAAACTGCCAATATCCCGAACCCCTCCTTTAGAGTGCAGGCATTGTAGTACTTCCCATTTCCATTACTCAAGTCCGGCTATATAAAAAAAAACGGTTTCCCTGAATCCCTTCACTAAATATTACCCTGCTCACACTCCAACAGATCGTCAGGTCCCAAATACCATTCGTCTCCATTCACGCCTATCGAACATGCTCATGCACGCCTGCTGGAAGTCCAAGCCCCTTGCCCACAAAACCTCCCTTACCCCTTCTTTCCAACCTTTTCGAGGACCACCCCTACCCCGCCTTTCTTCCCCTACAGATTTAAATGCTCTCCATGTCATTCTACTTTGATCCATTCTCTCTAAATGACCAAACAACCTCAACAACCCCTCTTCAGCCCTCTAATACTTTTATTAACTCCACACCTTCTCCTAATTTCCACACTCCGAATTTTTTGCATAATATTTACACCACATATTGCCCTTAGACAGGACATCTCCACTGCCTCCAACAGCCTCCTCGCTGCTGCATTCACAACCCAAGCTTCACACCCATATAAGAGTGTTGGTACTACTATACTTTCATACATTCCCTTCTTTGCCTCCATAGATAACGTTTTTTGTCTCCACATATACCTCAACGCACCACTCACCTCTTTTCCCTCATCAATTCTATGATTAGCCTCATCCTTCATAAATCCATCCGCCGACACGTCAACTCCCAAGTATCTGAAAACATTCACTTCTTCCATACTCCTACTCCCCAATTTGATATCCAATTTTTCTTTATCTAAATCATTTGATACCCTCATCACCTTACTCTTTTCTATGTTCACTTTCAACTTTCTACCTTTACACACTCCCAAACTCGTCCACTAACCTTTGCAATTTTTCTTTAGAATCTCCCATAAGCACAGTACCATCAGCAAAAAGCAACTATGTCAATTCCCATTTTGTATTTGATTCCCCATAATTTAATCCCACCCCTCTTCCAAACACCCTAGCATTTACTTCTTTTACAACCCCATCTATAAATATATTAAACAACCATGGTGACATTACACATCCCTGTCTAAGACCTACTTTTACCGGGAAGTATTCTCCCTCTCTTCTACACACCCTAACCTGAGCCTCATTATCCTCATAAAAACTCTTTACAGCATTTAGTATCTTACCACCTATTCCATATACTTGCAACATCTGCCACATTGCTCCTCTATCCACTCTATCATATGCCTTTTCTAAATCCATAAAATCCATAAAATTGATACTATTAAGCAAAACAAATTATTAAAAATTCACCAAATACACAAAATGCTGGCACTGTATACACACCTTAAATTTCCACATCAAATTACAGTGGTACCTTGACTTACAACTTTAATTCATTCCATGACTGAGCTCATAACTCAATTTGTTCGTATATCAAATAAATCTTCCTCACCGAAATTAATTGATATGCCATAAATCCGTTCCAGCGGAATTCCTGACTCTTGGGAGGCAGGAGAAAATACTTTAATATTACGCTAATATCAACCCTACAGCTTATTTATCTATCACAATCTAATATGACATAATAAACAATGTAAATAACACAGAAACACGATATTTTTTTTTTATTAATACATGTACATCGGCCGATTCCCACCAAGGCAGGGTGGCACGAAAAAGAAAAACTTTCATCATTCACTCCATCACTGTCTTGCCAGAGGGGTGCTTTACACTGCAGTTCATAAAACTGCAACATTAACACCCCTCCAGAGTGCAGACACTGTACTTCCCATCTCCAGGACTCAAGTCCGGCCTGCCGGTTTCCCTGAATCCTTTCATAAATGTTACTTTGCTCACAATCCAACAGCACATCATGTATTAAAAACCATTTGTCTCCATTCACTCCTGTCAAATACACTCACGCATGCTTCCTGGAACTCCAAGCCCCTCGCACACAAAACCTCCTTTACCCCCTCCCTCCAACCTCTCCTAGGCCGACCCCTACCCCGCCCTCCCTCCACTACAGATTAGACACTCTCGAAGTCATTCTGTTTCGTTCCACTCTCTCTACGTGTCCAAACCACCTCAACAACCCTTCCGCAGCCCTCTGGACAACAGTTTTAGGAATCCCGCACCTCCTCCTAACTTCCAAACTATGAATTCTCTGCATTATATTCACACCACACATTGCCCTAAGACATGACATCTCCAATGCATCCAGCTTTCTCCTTGCTGCAACATTCATCACCCATGCTTCACAAAATCTGGAACACCCTACCTGAAAACTCTAGAACTGCAGACACATTCATCACTTTCAAAACTACAGTTAGAAAACATCTTATCTCCCTGATACACCCCGTCAACTAAATGTAAACCACCTGGTGGTTCACACTTATACTCACTCACCCATCGACT